GCCCCGAGAGGGGATGGGTTCTCGGCCGCGGCTTTGGGGGGTCGGGTGGGGCTGGGCCCAGAAACGCAGCACGCGAGGCGCCGACCTGGATTGCAGAAGCGGCCCGAAAGGCTGTGCTGCGCGGCGCCGGAGAGGGAGAAGGGGAGCGAGAAGCAAGCAGCAGATGGCGAGGCGCTCTGGGAGCGCTCAGGCACGCTCACAGCGCGTTCCGTAGCGCTCTTCGGGGGCGGCCAAGATGGGAGTGGTGAATACAGGCGGGGATGTCATGGCCGGGGCCATGCTATCTCCCCAGGGTTCGTGGCGCCCTGATCACGAGCGTACGCCGTTCCGCCGACCCCCAGAAGAGGCGGGGAGTCCACGGTTGAGGCGTCGCGGGTTTCTTGGCCACTATCTGGGGACTTGTCTGGGCGTCTTGGGAGCTGTTTGGGAGCCTGGCGGAGCCTCTTGAAGGCAGTTTGGGAGCGTCTTGGCGCATTTTGGAGGGGGCCGTTTCGGGGACCTCCTGGAGCTTATTGGGGGCCCCTTTGGGGCCGCTGGGGGGCTTCTTGGGTCCTTTGGGGGGCCTCTTGCGGGGACCAGATAGGATGCTCGCTCCGCGTTCTTCCTCTTGGGGCCCCTCTTGGGGCCCTCGTGGGGCAACATTTGGCCATCTTGGGCCCCTCTTTGGAATCTTGAAACCCTCTTGAGCCGTCTGGAGGCCCTCGGAGGGGCCTCTAGGGCAGTTTGGGGACGGTCTACGGTGCGTCATGGACCGTCTTGGAGCGTCGGAAGCTGGAGAAGACGGTACTCCTCGAAGAAACCCACGGAAGCCCATCGATCTGTGCCTCTCGGGGCCCTTTTGGGAAGGCTCGTTGAAGCGTCTCGAAGGCGTCTTCGAGCCATCGCAGGCGTCTTGGACCGATCGTTCCGCGATTCGGGACCGTCCTGGAACGTCTTCGAGGCCACGGGATGCAGATCTGGAAGCTCCAGAGCCTCCAGGGGTGCGCCAGCGGGCCCGGGAGACACCCCCCCCCTTTCAACGAGGTTTTGGGCCTTGGGGGGGAGGGAGAGAGCCTTCCTCCCTCCCCCCTTTTCAGGGGGAGGGAGAAAGGGGGAGGGGGGACAGCTTCCCCTCCTCCTCCCCTCCCCCTCCTCTCCCCTCCTTGATTGGCTGCCCCCCCTCCCCTTTTTTGCAGGGGCAGCGGGGGGCACCCGATCGCACAGCGCACGCGCCCTCCTCCCCCCAGCAGGCGGAGGCCAGCGCGGAGTTTGGGCGCGGGCCCCGCCGCGGGGCGCCCGGCACGGCCCCGCCGCGAGGCGAGGACGGGCCTCGCACCCCAGCGGGCGGCGGTCGGCGGGCTGCAGCACGTCCCCCCCGGGTCCCCCCTCCCGCTCGGGCCGCGGCTTGCGGACCCCCCCGCCTCTCGGACGCCCCCGGGGCGCCCGGCACCGCCGCGCCGCGCCGAGGCGAGGAAGGCCTTTTTGTTCACCGAGCGCGTGCCTTTGGGTCCCCCCTCCCGCTCGGGCCGCGGCTTGCGGACCCCCCCCCTCTCGGACGCCGCGGGGCGCCCGGCACCGCCTCGCCGCGCCGAGGCGAGGAAGTCTTTTTGTTTCACCGAGCGCGTGCCTTTGGTCCCCCCCTCCAACCTCCAGCTCGGGCCGCGGCTTGCGGACCCCCCCTCTCGGACGCCGCGGGGCGCCCGGCACCGCCCCGCCGCGCCGAGGCGAGGAAGGCCTTTTTGTTCACCGAGCGCGTGCCTTTGGGTCCCCCCTCCCGCTCGGGCCGCGGCTTGCGGACCCCCCCGCCTCTCGGACGCCCCCGGGGCCGCGGGGCGCCCGGCACCGCCCCGCCGCGCCGAGGCGAGGAAGGCCTTTTTGTTCACCGAGCGCGTGCCTTTGGGTCCCCCCTCCCGCTCGGGCCGCGGCTTGCGGACCCCCCCCCCTCTCGGACGCCGCGGGGCGCCCGGCACCGCCCCGCCGCGCCGAGGCGAGGAAGGCCTTTTTGTTCACCGAGCGCGTGCCTTTGGGTCCCCCCTCCCGCTCGGGCCGCGGCTTGCGGACCCCCCCCCCTCTCGGACGCCGCGGGGCGCCCGGCACCGCCCCGCCGCGCCGAGGCGAGGAAGGCCTTTTTGTTCACCGAGCTTCTGCCTTTTGGGTCCCCCTCCCGTCGGGCCGCGGGGGGGGCTTGCGGACCCCCCGCGCCTCTCGGAACGACCCCGGGGCCGCGGGGCGCCCGGGCACCGCCCCGCCGCGCCGAGGCGAGGAAGGCCTTTTGTTCACCGAGCGCCTGTCTTTGGGGTCCCCCCTCGCCCCGCTCGGGCCGCGGCTTGCGGACCCCCCCCCCCCTCCAGGACGCCTTCGGGGCGCCCCTGGCACCAGCCCCCGCCGTTCGCGAGGCCGAGGAGGCCTTTTTGATGTTCACCCGTCTGAAACGCGTGCCTTTGGTCCCCCTCCCGCTGGGGCCGCGGCTTTGCGGACCACCCCCCTCTCGGACGCCGCGGGGCGCCCGGGCCCGGCACCGCCCCGCCGCGCCGAGGCGAGGAAGGCTTTTTTGTTCACCGAGCGCGTGCCTTTTGGGTCCCCCCTCCGCTCGAGGCCGCCCGGCTTGCGGACCACCACCCTCTCGGGAACCCGCCGCGGGCGCCCTGCACCGCCCCGCGCGCCGATGGCCCGAGGGAAATCGGCTTTTTTGTTCACCGGCCGCTCGGCCTTTGGGTTCCCCCCCTCCCGTCGGGCCGGGTCTTGGGGACCCCACCCCCCCTCTGGACGCCGCGGGGGGGGGGCGGGGCGCCCCGGCACCGCCCCGCCGCGCCGAGGCGAGGAAGGCCTTTTTGTTCACCGAGCGCGTGCCTTTGGGTCCCCCCTCCCGCTCGGGCCGCGGCTTGCGGACCCCCCCCCCTCTCGGACGCCGCGGGGCGCCCGGCACCGCCCCGCCGCGCCGAGGCGAGGAAGGCCTTTTTGTTCACCGAGCGCGTGCCTTTGGGTCCCCCCTCCCGCTCGGGCCGCGGCTTGCGGACCCCCCCCCCTCTCGGACGCCGCGGGGCGCCCGGCACCGCCCCGCCGCGCCGAGGCGAGGAGGCCTTTTTGTTCACCCAGCGCGTTGCCTTTGGGTCCCCCTCCCGCCTCGGGCCGCGGCTTGCGGACAACCCCCCCTCTCGGACGCGCGGGGCGCCCGGCACCGCCCCGCCGCGCCGAGGCGAGGAAGGCCTTTTTGTTCACCGAGCGCGTGCCTTTGGGTCCCCCCTCCCGCTCGGGCCGCGGCTTGCGGACCCCCCCCCCTCTCGGACGCCGCGGGGCGCCCGGCACCGCCCCGCCGCGCCGAGGCGAGGAAGGCCTTTTTGTTCACCGAGCGCGCTCCACTGCTCGCAGAGTGCCTGCTCTCGGGGGTGGGCAGGCCTCCTCCTCCTTCTCCTCCTCCTTCTCCTCCTCCTCCTCCTTCTCCTCCCCCTCGGCCTCCTCTCCGGGGTGGGCTGGCCTCCTACCCTGAGACGTCAATTCATGAATTGGCCGTCCTCGGTTCGCGAGAGGGCGTCGCGGCCGTCCTTTGTGCGGCTCCAGGTCCGTCGGTTTCGGTCCTGGGCCGCTTTCACCAAAGGGAGGTTTACTACAGGGAGGTTTGTCCACCGCCGATACTCGCAAACGCCCGAAAAACGCATGCCTGCTTCGATGCAAGGTATCGTAGAGGTCACCCGCGACGGATCCGGGCCATTTGCGAGCAGTCACTCTGCGAGTGGGCCGCGCTCGCCCATGGTTGGGCTCAGGAGGGGCTCGGGTTTCCGGGCCGCGCCTCGGGTCCAGGTCTCTGGACATCCTAGACGGGGTCGGAGCAGATGGGGTCGGAGGATCGCACCGCATCGCCGATGCATCGCCGATGCGGCTGGACGTGCAGCCCGATCTGCTTCACGTCGGCGTCGCTGGTGCACCGCCGACGTCGACGATGCCTCGCAGAGGCAGCGCCGATGCATGGCCGATGCATTGCCGATCTATCGGCGATGCCGCGCGACCCTCCGACCCCATCTACTCCGACCCCATCCAGCAGGCCTCTGAGGTGGGGGGACCTCTTTGTGGCCGAGGTTCGCCATGGCCCGCAGAGCCCCATTCGCTCCTGATTTGGCGTGCCTTGTGGCTGCGCGACAGTTGTACGTCCTCCAGGGCCGCCAGATCTCAGAGATCCCCGACGCGTTCTGCTCCGATTCCGATGCGCGAGGTCCTGGCCGCGTCTTGGGCAGCAGCCCGGCCGCGGCCGAGGGGGAGGGGCGAGTCTCGGGCATTTCCCTTGGCATCGCTCGGATGTGTGCATTTTTCCTTCGGCGAGGACCATCGAGGAGCATTTGTGATCATTTGGCGAAAAGGCCACGCACGAAACCGAAAAAAACACGGGGAATGGGCGTCCGAGCGATGCCCAGTTCCCGAGTCGGGCGATCGCGAACATGGAGCAAGGGGGCGTGGATCAGCGACGAGTCCCGTCTCCGTGGGGAACCGCGGACTCCCGCCGCCGCAGGAGGCGGCGCCAGCCGCAGGTTCGGGGAGGGCACCTCCCCCTCCTCCTCCTCCTCCTCCTCCTCCTCCTCCTCCTCCTCCTCCTCCTCCTCCTCCTCCTCCTCCTCCTCCCCCTCCTCCTCCTCCTCCTCTGGCGACCGCGCGCCAACTCCATGGATGGCTGCTCCGCGTTTGCTCACCCCCGACCCTCCCTCGAGGGCGAGGGGTCGTCTGGCGTGCGCGCCGCGGGTCGCGGGAGCGGGGGCAGCGGAGGGGCAAGGGGACCCAGACCCCCCTGGCGTTGTGTAAATATCGCGACCGCGTGATTTCACTACTTTCGGCCACCGGGGGCCCTTGCCAGGCCTCGAGGCCGCCCAAACACATTCGGGATGAAAAACCGGTCCCAGGGAAAGGGGTCCAGACCTCTGGGGGTCGACGCTGTGACACAATCACGACGTCGGGGGTCTGGGGAGGGGAGCGTCGCACGGGGCTAGGACGAGGATAAATCCGTCCCAGAGCGTTTCTGAACGCTCTCAAAGCGT